GCTCTCTCATCCCAAGTTGTGGTGCCACAAGGGTTTGGCAGGTGGCTAGGCAGGAGCAAACCTCTTTCTTACCTGCCCCCATCCAGGCACCTATCAAGTCCCAGCAAAGCATCATAGTGCTCTTGCCATGAGTTGGAATCATCCATGGCGAATATGAGAAAGAGAGGCCTGGTTGTACTTCCAGAGGAGTCAGTCTGGAGGCTAAAGTGAAATTCAATAGCTAGTAGGCTCCAAACACATAACCAGGTCATGGGGAAGGTCCCCTGAGATGGTCTGCACTCCAGTGAGCCTCCCCAAAGTCATTACTAAATTGTTAAGTGGTGTCCAATCGTTCCAACTCATAGTGACCTTATTTAGGGGTTCTGAAGCTTTACACCTTCATGGTAACAGAAAGTCTCATCTTTATTCTGCCTTAGGAGCTGTTGGGCTCAAACTGCACTTTGTGGTTGACAGCCCAGTGCTCATAGTTTGGAGTCACCACACTCCCATTACTAGATAACAAATAAAAATTTTCTGTAACAGATTGAGAGAGAGACCATGGAAAAAAAGAATAAAGCTATTCCTGCTATCTGAACTAGAAGCTCCACATTTTTATTTCACTATGAGCTTCACAAACTATGTAACCAGCAAGACAATAAGGTCAGATGCAAGAGCCAATGTACACAAATAAAAAGCATGTTTGGAAACCTTTCCCACAGTGCTTGGGAATTGAAGAGCAAGTAAGAAGAGGAGATTCATGGTGGTTTGGGATGGAAAACAGCTTCCTCTCTTCTCTCTCTCACCCCAGTTACAGTGGAGGCGCTGCGTCTCTTATGTATTTAGAATGTGGCATGTCATAACATTGCTGGAACATCAAGGAATCAAGACATGAAATCCATATGGCTGTGTGTGCAAACTCTCTCACAGTGTGTTAAGCTGGGACTCCCCAGATATTCTATATGTGACCAAAGACTAGACTAGAAGACAGCAAGCCACATAGCTCCTCTGAATCTCCCTGCCTGCTTGAGCCCTTAGAAATGAGGCAAAATTGAGGGAGATGAAAATGTCTGCTAGCAGGAGGTGTAGCCCAAAAGATGTCTTGCCAATTCCTCAGAATTAGATCATTCTTTTATGAGAGTTTGAGAAATATAAACTAGTAGAAGCTAGTTCTTATCAAAGGAAAATAAAAGGAACAAGTAACCAAAGAGACAGATGGCCAGTGAGGGTGAGATTGCAGGGCAGCCTCTTTGTAAGCACTTGGATCTGCTCAGAGACAATAAAAGACAGGAGCTCCCTGATTATTGCTTTACTCAGGCTGGAAAGCATTTGTGCCAAGATTTTAAAGTGGATGGCAGACCAGAGCCAGAACAACTGAGTTATAAAAATGGATGCCATCACCAATGCCATATGAATAATACATCTGTTGTTATTCTGCTTTCCAAAGTACGTTTTTTGAACTCACAAGATATGTATTAAGATAAAAAGAATTCTGGAATAGAAGTGATCTTGTCTGCATTTTTTACTCCAATGCATTCAGTCAAATTGTACATGAAGCACGCAGCACAGCCAACTCCTGATTGTCTGCATGAGTGGAGGAATCTCTCATCACAGAGAACTGAAATATACGACTAGTCCTGCCCACCTCATTTTATTGAGAGTTTGCCTCATCTTTCTACAAGCTTTACTAGAGCTGGGCCCCCGTTAGAAAGTGAATTGACTGGTATTTCATTGCTGATTTTTTTCCTTTAACCACTGGAGTTACTTACCAATCTTTAGTCAAGAAATACCTCAACAACACAGGAGGACAAAGAGAAAGTCTAGATGATTCCCAAACTAAGTAATCAAATGATTATCAAGTACCCATCCAATACAAACTCTGTTTGACAGAGTTAAAAAAAAAAAAAAAAAAGAGAAATTCAGAAGTATGATATTTAACATGTTCAAACATTTTGAGAATAAAAATATTGAAGGGGGAAAAATAGCAATGTCATGGTATAGAAAGTTACTAACTTGCCAACTTTTCCTCAACAAACAAGAGGACAATAACAAGATTACTAAACTTGCCATTAAAAAAAAAAAAAGGTGGTGAAAAGGAGACCCAACAGAAAGGGGGGAAAGTTCTGGTAGCAAAGTGGTTACAGTCGGACTGCTAACCTTAAAGTCAGCATTTTGAAATTACCAGCCATTCCAATGTAGAAAGATGAAGCTTTCTACTCCTGTAAAGATCTCCAGCTTCAGAAACCCTATACATGGTCTCTGTGAGTTGGAACCGACTCCATGGCACACAACTACCACCAACAGAAAGGGTAGGGAAAAAAAGAGACCAGAATAGCTAAGCTTTGGGGGGAGGTATATCTACAGAAAATGGAGTCCCAGTGTGGTGCTGTGGGTTAATGCATTGGACTGCAAAGTCAGTGGTTCAAGCTTACCAGTCACTACTCAGAAACCCTATACAGGATCAGAAGTGACTCAATGGAATTTAACAACAATGATATGGGTCAGAACTGACTCGACAGTCCTTAGCAACAACAACGATAGATAAGATAAATTCAATCTATGAAAACACAGTGTTTCAGAACCCATGGCACATACTACTTACTCTCCATGATCAATGGAGCAGTGTTCTGTGCAGATAGTTATGACTTTGTAGAGTTTGAATTCATAATATCCCTATATTCTTCAACAAAAAGGGAAGTGTGAGAAAACTGTATTTGCACTGAAATTCAGTCCTGACTGCTGCTCTTGGTAACTGGGAGAAGTTTGTTGGTCAATTTAGTACATCCCTGATACTGCTGGCAGATGTGAATTGAGATACAATTGAAGATCGGAGTTTCAGAAGCCTAGACATATGGTATATAATGCATGGAGACATCAGGGTCAGTGTAACATTTGTTGGTTTGATGTCTTTTTTAGGTCTAATTCTCTTTATAGATGAAGATAAAAGAATATGGCGGTGGTGGGGAAGGGGAGTATTAAGTGTGTATGTGTGTGAGAGGTAAAATAATTTTAGTATAAAATCTTTCTATATCTTGGCTTCTGAGAGAGGTCAGATTTTATAGTGGGGAAAACAGAAAAATCTAAATGTAAAGAAATGGATCATAGTGAATGTTATCACTGTTCCCTGGTCTCTACATTTTGGAGTTCTCTATCGGTATTAGGTGTTGATAAACTTCTCTCTTCTCCTCACCAGGCTCTCACCAGGCATGTATTATGCATATTTGACTATTACCAGGTTCCTCAAACCTGAGCTGTCCAACCTGCCCCAGGCCATCTGCCCCCCTGCCTCCACTTCACTGTATTCCAAATATTTTGATCCTTCTCTATGGTACCTTGAATAAAAATCTAGTTCAGTGGAAGTAACTCTGGACTCACATATTAGAACAGTTGGGTTGGGCTCAGCCTTATCACTGACCTTCACCTCTGTGCACCTCAGTTTCCTCATCTGTAACCAAAAAAGCACCAGTGTAACTAGTCTGGAGGCTTCAGTTGTTCACAACGTGGATTATTTACTACCTGAAGAGACAAGATCACCCTAGTTAAGTGATTTGCCCAGAGCTGACCAGCTACTTAATAGTAGGCTAGAATACCACCAGGTTTTCAGACCCAAAGGTCTTTCCACCAGATATGACTTCTTTCCTGCATTCTCTGTAACAGTAGCCACTAGCTACATGTGGATATTTCTATTTAAATCAGCTAAAATGCTATGAAATTAAAAATTCAGTTCCTCAGTCACACTAGCCACACTTCAAGTGTTCAGTTAGCCACATGTGGTTGGTTAGTGACCACCAGACTGGACAGTGCAGATTATAGGATGTTTCCAGGAACATACAAGTTTTATCAAACATTTAGAACTTCTAATCAGCACTGACTTCCAGGATTCCTGATTTCTCAACCTAGCATTCATGATGTTCCAAGGTCTGGCTCTAGCTCAACTTTACTGCTGGGCTGCTCACTACTTAACAATCAGACTGAGGTCTACTTTCTACAACCACCACTGTGCCTCCCAGAGTGCCTCCCACAAAGCAGACAGTAAGCATTTAGAAGGATGGACGAATGGATGGATGATGGATGGCTGGAGGGGGGCAGGGGTGACATCCATTCATGTTTCCATCAAACAAATAATGATTATCTACTAAGGAGCTCTAGTAGCGTAGTGGTTACGAATCAGGCTGCAAACCTTAAGCTCAGCGGTTCGAAACTACCAGCCGCTCTGTGGGAGAAAGATGAGGCTTTCTACTCCCGTAAAGATTTACACTCTCAGAAACCCTGTACAGGATTGCTATGGGTTGGAACCGACTCAACGGCACTTAACAACAACAACAATTATGTGCTAAGTAGTCTTCTAGAATCCTAGGACTATGGTAGTCAACGGACAAAACCATATGAAACTTACTTTCTGTCTAGAAGCTGCAAGAGTGGAGAACAGATCATAAAGTTTTTCGCATGTAAATTGTAATTCAGATACTGAAGTCCTATGATGAAAATAGGAGTCCTGGTGTGGTCTATAGAATCAGCACTGGACTGCTAACCAAAGGTTGGCGGTTCAAACCAACCAGCCACTCCTTGGAAACACTACAGAGGGTCTCTGTGAGTCAGAATCGACTCAACAGCACTTAAATACAAAGAGAAAAACATAGGGGGTGCTTGCTGACTGGGAATGAGACTGGGATGGGGAGCTCTTGAGAGTTGGTGGTCTCTGATGAAATGCCGTTTGAACCCAAATCTGAACAATCAGAAGGAGCTAATGATATAAATATCTGGGTGGAATATGTTTCATGAAGAGGAAATTTTGCTGTTGAATTTCTATTTCTACATACTTTAACAAGATGTCTCATTTTCTAGCCTCTGATATATGGGCCAGTATAAATTCTTGGTTTAATAATTTTAATAAAATTACCCTGGAGGAAGGATGCAACAAGGAAATGGGTGTAACCATTCATTTAGGAAGGCAGACATTAATATAATCTATTAAAGTTGAAATGGCATTTATCTATCATCTTTCTCTTCTTTTGCTTGTACAGCTTTGTTCCTGGACCACATAAAACTGCCCTCAAGAAAGATGCTTTACAGGAGAGAAACATTTTTCAAGATAAAAAATATCTTTTAAGAACAACAAGAGATGGCAAAGATGATGTTGTTCAAAATTTTACCAGAAGCACATCCCATATCTTTAAAAATGGGAAAAAAAGGGTGATAAAAACTGCTTCCAAAGGACATGATGAAGGAAGTACTCAAACAATTTAGCTTTCAGAAGCATGGTGACTTTGGACTTAAATAATAACTAAATTCAAGCCTACTGCCTGAGTCCTGTGCAACTTATATTTGGATAGCTGCCCAAACCCAGAAGTCTACTCTAGAGGGTAGAACAAGTCACAGGTTGTAGGTTATTGGGTAACCTAACTCCTTGCACTCCTTGGTTTTTTCATCTTGCCCATTTATTTGACTACCCCGACAATTCTCTTAACTAACCCTGATATGTTCAAGAACTATTATCATTAGAAGACAGAAGAGCAAAATAAGTCTGAGGACTGATCTGAAAGTAAACTTTTTGAAGTGCATCCATTGGTGTACAGGGGTCAATGCTAAGTGTTTAATATGTGCCTCTGTTCCATACATTTCTTATAAACCAAGCCACCTTTTTTAGTTCAGGGCTGCTTAAGGTTTATCTGTTTAACCAGAGGGATTTTTTAATGTTCTACGCTAACATGTAACCTAGAAATTGATGCTGTTTGTATGTCCTTTTTTTTTTTTAAATGTGCACTTCCATGTCTATTCCATTTAAACAGTCCCTGTGTGGACTGACTAGCCCTCAGGTGGGCTTGTGCTGGCAGTTTCTTCACAGCTGAATTGATTTGTTTGCACAGGTGGGAAGCAGAGGGTCATTTTTCCCAGCTCCAAGTTCTCATTAACTTACTGAGAAACTCATGAATCCTTCCAGAACTTGTCACTGCTTTTGAGATGGAAGTTTACTGTTTGCTACAGAACTTCCTTTCTTATGTACTTTCACTTTCTTTCTTACTTACTATAGTCATTTATCATTGTCCATACTCCATATTTTCTTTTGACAAGGCAAGCAAACACGTAACATACCAGGGATGAAGCTCTATTTACTGTGACCATCAGGTAGCTATTTAACCCTTAATTAACAGCACTAAAATAGGGTTAGCAGAGCTCTAAAAAAGAGCCTGTACATACACTTACTGTGTTTGGAAAGGGCAAGAAAGTTGTATTTTAATCTACAAATTCATATGATGCTGTAGAAAAGAGTGAGATAAAAGCAGGAAAGGTCTTCAAAATTACCTAGCCTCTAGAAGCATCCTCTGAGGGCTCTGTCACCTCACTTACCCAGATCACATAACTACTACTTCATCTTGTGATGGTGCTGCTGAAACTCTCAACAAATAAATGCAGACATAGGTTGTGGTTGCTGAGTGTCATCTAGTCTGTCTGGATTCACAACAACTCTGTATAGAGTTTCCAAGGACTGGCTCATTGGATTGAACCACCGACCTCGTGGTTATAGTCCAATGCTTATCCTACATTCCACACCAGGAGTTAATTTAGACACATCAGGACTACCTCAGAGCTAGTTCCACACATGGTAGCAATGCCCCCTCTAGGCAGAATATGACTCGCTTCAGGAAGAGAACCTGCGTGGATGGACAGATGATTAGACACCAAAGACCAGTAGGTAGTCTGATTTTTTTTTTTTTTTTCTATTCTATACCTCTTCAAGTAAAAACCTCAGAAGAGCTCTCTGCAGTCCTTGCTAAACCATTTCTACCCCCTACACTCAGGCAACCCCATAGATGTTGTTTCAGATGAACAAGAATTCCAAGGAGTTTCATATTCATACTCAGGTAGCAGAGAAGAATAAAGCATATTAGGTACCTTCATTTTTGCTAAATGATTTTTTGGGGTTCAGGGGAGAAAAAATTAGGTTTCAAGTACAAGAAAAGGATGAAAAACATTTGAGAGGTATTTTAATTAAAATGTTTTTTTCTGGTTAACTTGGATTAAGCAAAAACCCCTTCTGTTTATTGTTGTAAATACCTTTACAATGTATTTGTCTTTTTTTTCTTCCCTTCATTGGTAAATAAAGTACACCAAACAAATATTTCCCTGGTGACTGGGATTATTTCAGCATTTTGGATCAGCTTTCTAATTATTAATCTGTAAGGGGCTTAAAGCATGCTAACTGCAAATAGAAATTTAAAAAAAAAAAAATAAATCCCTGTTAATTAGCATTTTCCATAATATCCTTCTATTAACAACATAGAGTGCAATAAAAGTTAAAAGGTGAGTGTAAATTAAGTAAAATCTTGTTTAAACCAGGGATCACACAAATAAACAGTGCTGCTTCCTGCATCCCATTATCTCTTCACTGAACTATGGATCCAATTTTTTTTTTTAAGAAAAAGTACAGGTCAAAAAGAGTTTAAACTCAATATGGCGTTAGATTTTAATAGTAACCATCCAACCAAATGACCTCTTTAAGTAAGGGGACTGGAGGGAACAGAAATGGATGGTGAGACAGTAAAGGGGACAGGACCATCTCAGTACACTCCATTGTTTCCTCAGCATATCCCACCATTGCCAACCTTGTGGCTTATCTAGTGACTCCAGGCTTGAAGTCCATTCTCAGCTGAGCAGTTTTTGTCTCAAAAAAAAAAAAAAAAAATTCCCCAACCCCTGCAGACTCTAAATCTGATTTAATAACTAGAACCCTGAAATTTTGGTCTTGGCCAACTTTAAGGGAAGCAGAAACTGTGTGACATGACAAATCAGCAAATTCTACACATCCACTAAAGAGATCTCACCTAGTATGAATCTATCACAACTAATTTTGGACTTTTTGAATGACTGGCATTTTCCATTAATTTTGTTGTTTACCTAGATGCTATGTGTCATGAAACCACACATATGCATTGTAAACTGTCATGTTTCATAACTGAATTATAGAAAGCTAATTTCTTGGAGCATTTTGGAACAAGTAGTCATTTCCCAATAATCTTGATGATCTATTCCACTTGTCCCTTTTGTAAGCTCATGTAACTAATTTCAAACTAAAATGTTCAGAGTAAAATAAACCCTTGTGCAAGTGGTTGAGAATTAAATGTGGTGAAAGAATTAGATCTGTGTACAAAGACTAATCTATAATGCAGAAGGATTTTATCTTAATGAGAAAGACCAATTTTTTACCTTTTATAAACATGAATTGTGGGACTTTTCCAACAAATATCCAACACTCATCTAACCGTTTGTTGTACTACTGTGACTTGTGTGTTTGCTGTGATGTTGGAAACTATGTGACCTGTATTTAAATAAACAGCAAAGTCACCTATAGTGGACAGGTTTCAGCTGAGCTTATAGACTCAAGACTAAAACAAGGAGAGGCAGACCACTTCCAAATGGTTAGCCACTGAAAGCCTTATGAATAGCGATATAATGCCAAAGATGAGCCTCTCAGCTTAGAAGGCATTATTAAAATGCCAATGGGGGATGAACTACCTCTCCTCAAAGTACAGTTGACCTTAATGATTTGAATAGAGTTAAGCATTTGGGGATCTTCATTTGCTTATGGGGCAGCATAACTCAAATGAGAACTAAAAGCTACAAAAATCCTTAAATAACCAAAATGTGGAATGTACAAAATATGAAGCTAGAAAAATAGGAAGTTGTCAAAAATTAAATTGAACATGTAAAGATCAATATCCAAGAGCAGAGGCAAACTGTGGAACAGATCACCAGTTCAGGCAGAAACAGAAGAAACTTGAAACAAATTTGCAAATGCCAAAATATGACCGGGAACATATCCCACCTGAAATTTAGAAATTTTCCAAAGAACAGATTTGATGCACTAGCCACTAAAGACTATAGACCAGAGGAGTTGTGTGATGACATCAAGAACATCATACACGAAGAAAGCAAAAGATCATTTCAAAGGCAGGAAAGAAAAGACGAAAGTGGATGTCAGAAGAGACTCTGAAATTTGCTCTTGAGCATAGAGAAACTAAAGCAAATTGAAGAAATGAAAAAGTCAAAGAGCTGACAAAGTCAAATATTACTATAAAGTGTAAAAAGACCTGGAGTTAAACAACCAGAAGGGAAACACACACTCCGCATCTCTCAAGCTCAAAGAACTGAAGAAAAAATTCAAGCCTCAGGTTACAGCATTAAAGGAGTCTATGGGCAAAATATTGACTGAGGTGAGAAATGTCAAAAGGTGATAGAAGTAATACACAGAGCCACTATACCAAAAAGAAATAGCCAGTTTTTTAATCATTTCAAGAGGAAGCATAGGATCAAGAGCCAATGGTATTGAAGGAAGATGTCCAAGATACACTGATGGCATTGTCAAAGAACAAGGATCCAGGAATTGATGGAATATAAATTGAAATCTTTCAACAGACTGATGCAACACTGAAGGCACTCAATCATCTATGCCAAAGAATTTAGAAGGCAGCTACCTGGCCAAGTGATTGGAAGAGATCCATATTTGTGCCCATTCCAAAGAAAGATGACTTAGTGGAATGCGGAAATAATAGAACAATATTATCATATGCAAATAAAATGTTGTTAAAGATGAATACAAAAACAAATGCAGCAGTACATCGATAAGGAGCTGCCAGAATTTCAAGGTGGATTTGGAAGAGGATGTAAGAAGGCTATCATTACTGACATCCGATGGATCTTGACTAAAAGCAGAGACTACTAAAAAGATGTTTATTTGTGCTTTATTAACTATACAAAGGCATTGAACTGTGTGGATCATAACAAACTATGGATAACATTGCCAAGAATGGGGATTCCAAAACACTTCATTGTGCTCATGAGGAACCAGTACATAGACCTCGAGACAGTCATTTCAAAAGAACAAGGATTTAAAATCAGGAATGGTAACCTTTCACCATATTTATTCAATCTGCATGCTGAGCAAGTCTGAGAAGTTGGTTTATGTTAAGAACTTGGCACATTAGGACTGGATGATGACTCAACAAACTACAATATGCAGAGGATACAACCTTGCTTGCTGAAAGCAAAGGGGACTTAAAATACTTACTGATGAAGTTTAAAGACCACAGGCTTCAGTATGGATTACATCTCAATGTAAACTAAAATCCTCACCAGTGGACCAGTAAGTAACATCAAGATAAATGAAGAAAAAATTAAAGTTGTCAAAGACTTCATTTTCCTTGAATCCACAATCAATATTCATGGAAGCAGCAGTCAAGAAATCAAAT